TATCTATTTACTCAGGTTTATTCTTTTGCAGTGTGGGCAATTGTAGACAATGTTAATGTGCCACTGAGACGAATGTGTATTTCCTGTCTGGTGGAATTTTCTGTAGATATCTTTTGAGTCCAATTTATCAGTTCAGTAATTTAGTTCTGAGTTTTTCTTGCTGAGTTTTTATTTGGAGGTACGATATATCTAGATATACTGAATTATTCCATTATTAATGTGTCTGTACTCCTGCTGTCTTCTGGTGTTTGTGTTTTGAACTCAAGGGAACAAAATTTGCTGCATTTTATAAATTATAATATGTCCTCTTGACTTAAGTGTTTCATCTGCCAATATGTAGCAGCCAACTTTTGTTCTGATTAGGTTGGTTTAAAGTCTACTTTGCAAGAATGAGAATTGCTACATCAACTTGTTTACTTGCACTTTATTCTTAGTAGTTTGATTTCTAACCTTTGGCTCTCAGGTTATGGGTGCCTTTATAGATATGTGTGTTTCCTAGAGACAGCAGATAGTTTGTTCATGTTTTCAAATCCAGTCCAGTAGTCCATGTCTTTTAATTGGTAAGTTAAGGGTGAGTTTGCATTTAGAGAATGACTAAGAAGACTTTTCTATTGTTTATGATTTTTTTGTTTATTGTTTGTTGTTCTCATTGGCTGGTTAATTGTTAGTTCTTGTTTCCTCTCCTGGAAGCACTGAATACTTGCTGGCTTGCTGTGTTACACAAGATTTGTTCCTCATTTGCTCTGTCATCTATCCATTCACGGCTTCCATGGGATATAGTCTTACCTGTGTACTTCTTCGTGAAACTTTCTTCTTCTCTGTAGGGTACCCCTGTAAGAATTTTCTGCAGCTCTTGCTTAGATGTAACAAATGGTTTTAACTTTTGTTTATCTGGAAATATCCTTATTTCTCCATATACTTTAATACATAATTTTCCAAAATATTCCAATTTTGGTTTCTTTTAAGACTTGAAATATATAATTCATGCTTTCCTAGCTCTTAAGTCTGCTGACAATAATAAATCTAATGTTATTCTGATGTTTCTGCTTTGTGATTTTTTTCATATTATTATTCTTTTCTGTCTATTCTTTTTGTTTCTGTGTGAGTGTGATTTATGTGCATGTTTTCATGTGTGTTCATGTGTATGTGAGCATATGTGTGTATTCATGTGTGTGTCATGAGGGCATGCATGCATACATGCATGTGTGTGTGTGTGTGTGTGTGTGTGTGTGTGTGTTTCTTTGCTCTGTTTTGTGCATCTCCTAGGGTGTGTCTACCCTCTGGTTTCTAACTTTTCTCTTTTCCCACTGTTTTTGTTTGTTTTTTAAAAAATGTGAGTCTTCCTAGTGGGCTGTCTTTGATTGAATGTATGTTCAGGGGGAAGTCAACTGTAGTAACAACCATGATAGTTTGACAAGTGTTAGCTAAGAGGGAAAATACATATTCTTGACTTGAGTTCTCTATAGAGTTCATTCTGCCTTGCAGCATCACCTGTTCTGGGATTCTTGATTGATTGATTCATTCATTCATTAATTGATTGAGTGATTTATCTCTGGGATTAAGAATGCAGTTCACAGAAGACCCAACAAGAGTACTTTGAAGATGTAACCCAGGTTCTTTAGTGCCCATGGTCCCTTACATACACAATCCCCACATAGCCACACTTCCAGTTACCCAGTCTAATTTACATCCCATATTTCTCTCAGAACCCTAGGCCCTGCAACTGATTTTTTGATTCTGCCCACTCTCTGATGTATGCTTTTCAAAACACTTTTTAAAAGAAGGAAAGCATCAAATGTAAAGAGAGGTTCTTGTCCCAGCTGGTCCTGTGGCCCTTGAGCCCCAAATAAACATACAGACACTATAGTAGTTATAAATATGTTGGCCAATGACTAGGGCTTCTTATTGTCTAGCTCTGTCATAATTATTAACCTATAACTACTAACCTATGAATTTCCATGTGGACTTGGCTTACCAGAGAATGCCAGACTTGCAACTCCTTTGACTACTACATGGTGACTGACGCTGGCGGGCTCTCCTGCCTACATTTCTCAGACTTCTCCTTCTCTCCTTGTCCCACATATCTTCCTGTCTCATTGACCATTGTCCCAACAGTGTTTTATTCATCAACCAATAAGAGAAACATATGTACAGAAGGACAACTCCCATCAATCAAATGAATTCAAATTCCAAATTCGCAACTCAGGGAACTACAAAAAGAACATACTAAACCTTGGTTGGTGAAAGGGGAATGATGAAGATTAGAGCAGATATATATGATCCGAAAATAGAAAGCAACAAAAAATCAACATACCTAAGAGTTGAGTTTCCTCAGGAAAATGGAAATCAGTCTACCACAACATCCAGCAATTCCACTCTTAAGCGTATATCCAAAAGACATACACTCATACAATAAGGACATCTGCTCAACTATGTTCATAGCAGCATTATTTGTAATAGCAAGAACCTAGAAGCACCCCAGATGCCCCTCAACTGAGGAGTGGATAGAGAAAATGTGGTACATCTACACAATGGAGTACTACTCAGTGGAAAAAGCAGAAAAAAATAGAATCTTGAAATTTGCAGGCAAATGGATGGCACTAGAAAAAACCATTCTGAGTGAGGTAACCCAGTCAAACAAAATCAAACATAGCATGTACTCACTCATACATAAATTTTAGGCATGAAACAGAGGATTGCCAGCCTACAATCCCACCTCCAGAGAGTCTGGGAAGCAGGAGGACCCTAACAAAGATATGCATGGTAACCCAGAGAAGGGTTATGGGAGGAGATCTCCTAATTGGATTGGGAGCAGAGGGTAGGAGAGTGGAGAGGGAGATGGGAGAGAGAGGGGGAGAAGAGGAGGGGAGAGGAGGACAAAGGAGAGCAAGAAGAGAGGAGAGGAGAGAGGAATGAGAGATACAATAATAGAGGGAGCCATTATAAGTTGGAGGAGAGACCTGGCACTAGTGAGATCTTCATAGATCTACATGAACGACACCAACTGGCATTAAGATTGCCTTAAATGCCCTCCTCTGATAATGAGATTTATAACTACCTTGTATGCCACGCTAGAACCCTCATCCAGTGGCAGAAGCAGAGGCAGACACCCACAGCTGAAAACCAAACTGAAATCCTGGAACTCAGTTGCAAAGAGGATTGATGAGCAAAGAATCAAGACCAGGCTGGCGAAACCCACAGAGCCAGCTGACCTAAACAAGGGAGAATGCATAGACCCCAGAGTGATGCCTGAGAGGCTAGCATGGGACGGATACAGACACCCCCCACCCTGAACCTGGGTGTCAGAGAAGAGGCCTCGGCAATCTGTGGGACCTTGGAGAGTAGATCAGTATTTATTCTTGGCATACAAATATACTCTGGGAGCCCATTCCACATTAAGGGATGCTCCCTCAGCCTGGACACATGGGAGAGGACCTAGGCCCTGCCCAGGATGATATGACAGACTCTGAAAATCCTTCATGGAAGCCCTTAACCTCCCTGGAGAAAGGAGAGGGGATGGAGTGGGGTGGGACGTTGGAAGGATTGGGGGACCCGGGGAGGAGGGAAGGGGAAGGGAACTGAGAGTAACATGTGTAAAAAGTTAAATAAAAAAAGATCAACAAAAGTGACAACCCCATATCAGGCTTAGGGGAAATAAATAAATTTAAAATGAAACTGGTGTTATATCTGAGAATGGCACACAAAAGTATTTATAAGGGAGTAGAATCAAAAAGTACAAGTCAATGGGAATGGGTGGTGGTGGCGTACACCTTTAATTCCAACACTTGGGAAGCAGAGGCAAGTACATCTTTGTGAGTTTGAGTTCAGCCTGGTCTACAGAGTGAGTTCTAGGAAAGCCAGTGATATTTAGAGGAACACTGTCTCAAAAACCAAACCAAACCAACCAAACCAAACCAAAACAAAACAGTATAAGTCATTGGTTGGGAGATGAAGAAAAGGTTACCTCAGTTTGTTGATTCTGTGTCCTAGTCTATATTTCTGTTATGAATACAAAGCACTGGACATTGGGTGCTTCATAAAGTAAAGAAATTTATAGCTCTGCTGTGTAGCTGAAGCTTGAGATCGGGCAGCCTCATGGACTCAGCAGACTGCCTAAGGAATAGGAATATCACGGGGGATCGAGGGAGCCATGGAGATCCCAGAGACATCTGTGATGACTTCCCACTAGGCTCTATATTTTATCAGTCATACATACCATCTCCTTCTATCACCACATGGTGAACCAAGATTCCAAAAGGTGGACCTTTGACCCACTAACCATCCCCAAGCCCTGGGACCACACCAAACAGCAGTAGGGTTCACGTGACAAAGAAGCAGACATGTAGAAGATGCAAGCAGGGTCAGGGATCAGATTTCTGCCACTTTTATCACAGTCAAAGCAAACCTTATAGGGAACTGACTCATGTATGCTTTCTGGGAAAATACAGTTTTTACATGAATCAGTCATTTTTGCCAAGAGTGTGGGTAATATTTTTCTGCAAAATAAAAAATAAATAAGCTAAATGAGTTTGAAGTAGACTTAAGAACAGTGAAGCTAAAATGTAAAAAAAAAGATAGAAGAATTTGACTAACATTGTAAAACAGCATTAAGAAAAAATTCCATGTAATTCACCTTTACTGGTCTGGAACACCTTACAATAAACAGAGCCCATCCTGACTGCACCAGCTGACAGGAGTGAGTGACAGAAGGTTCTGGGTATTTAGGAGCGTGGCAAACATACCCTTTTCCCTCACTAACTAGTTCTGAGAGAAGAATCAGCCATGAAATTATTTTAGGCAACTAGATTTAAAAAATAGTATTCTGCCTTCTCATCTCAGATGATCGCATGGTCCCCAACCTTCAGAGTAACTTCCTATATGGAAAGCATCCATATCTAACACAGTTGTCGAAACAGCAAGTGGAGACAAAGGTCTCCTCCAAGCAAATGTTTGACAGCTCTGGCTGAGAAGTCCTGACAAACCCTCCCACTAGCTCAGCTCCAGAAACCACTTTTATGATGGTTGATTCACTGCTGTGAACTGAGCACTTTCGTTTCCTTATTTTTCTCTTCTATTGAGAATGTTGCTGTACACTTGATTAACCACAGTCAAAGTTTCACCTCTTTGGAGAAGGGAATAAGAGACCAGTGAGGAAGCCGGTCATGAACAACAAGAGCAGGTAAGGAGGTTCTCTTCTTTTTCCAGCTCTGGGAAGTTCTGCTCAGGGATATGGGGTCTATAATATCAGGAAGGGGATGGGAAAGTTTTATAAGGTGCCATCAAGAGGGGTGCTATCAGGTTAGACATCCTTACGTTCCAGTACCTGGCTTGAATTCAGCTGGAAATAATGAAACTATGCTCGCTCTTCCCTATATTCACATTGTCTCTACTGAGTGGGAACAAACGAAATGACCATGGATATTGAGAGTACTTGCTCTTTTCTGCTCCTACTGCAACTGAAAAGGCTACACGTGCATCGTTTCCATGAAGGGAAGAGATGAAAAGAACTAATATAAAACAAGAAATGATGTGGAAGTAGAAAGGAAACGCTGGAACCCAGAGGGAACGATTAAGACCAGGATAACGAGCTTTCTCCCACTTACCTGAACTTGGCTACTAAGTTGATTTCCTCTTTCACTGGACAGACTCTCTCATTCCTAGAGCCCCTTCCTTACCTCTCACCTGTAGGATTCAGACTTGTGTTTCTTTAAAAGGCTTCCTCCACAGAATCCCAAGCAGTGCAACAATAGGGGCAGTGTCTCCTTTTAACTTGCCATCCCATCAGACCTTCGAAAAGCCCCTCCCACGAGTTCCTCAGGCACCAGCTTCACTCATCAATGTTCTCTCTCCACAGCAAACTCTTACTTCTGCATCCTGTACTCCTGTCCTCTCCCCATTCTCTTTTCTCTCTTCTACCAAACAATAAAATGAAGCAGGACACCTAAAAATGGGCCACAGGAAACAGTCGTTTTCCTTGAACAACTTCGTTCTGTTCTCGATCTTCCTGATTTTTAGTCTTCTTGTCAGTGTTGTTTTGAGCTTCTTGTGGTATTTTAAAAAGTTGCTCGTAGAATCCCTCCCCATTTAGGTTACCTTAGTGTGAAACTAGGGATGTTTCAGGCCACTGCTCTGGCACATGAAACCTTAACTGACCAAAACACAAAACAAACAAACAGACAAAAACCCCAGCTCTTACTTTTAACAGATAAAGGAATAATTTATTATTTTGGCGCTAAATATTGTGACATTGAATACTCTCATTCAATATGCAGTATAAATTTTAAAATTGTAATCCAAAAGGAAATTCTCTCATGATAAATTTAAAGGAAGAACTGAGTTGTTAGCAGTGAATTTTAACAATTTGCAAGGACACAGATAAAGATTACCATCAAAACCAGGTTCCAACAATCTAACAGTTTCATAAAGCGTTATTATAGAACAGAAGAAAAACTGTAGCTGACGACGCTTTCAAATACACCCCTGGAAGCATCAGGTAGGCAACTTAAAGCACATTAAGTGAAACAGGGCTCAGCTGCCCTCTGGCAACATCGTCACCCTTTGGGTGGTGGAAGCCAGGGCTCTGTTTGTACATTCCAAAAAGATCGAACAAATAGGAGGATCTTAGGTCAAACACAGAAGTGAACAATAAATATGATCCTGGGTCTGAGGAAGTAAAGATAATTTGGCTCTGAGCCTTCAACATTCCAGCTCTCCAGAGTCACTGAAGTTCCCACCAGGGAGTCAGGCACTTATAGAGGGTTCATTGAGGTGGGTTCTTCTTTTGTACCCATCACTTTTCTGAAAGAGTTTCTAGTCCAGGATGACAAATACACACAAGTAAAATGTGCTAATTTCATTCCTGGAGCCACAGCATAAGGGCCCCTGCTCGTGTTGAATTCACCAAAATGTTCCTAAGAGCCAGAAAGAGGGCAAATACTAAACACCTGTGCAGATAATTATCCAGGTGCAAACACGAAGAAAATGGGGCATTTATTCATTAGAGTTTTTACTCATTGAAAGAATTCATGAGCGAATAAATTCATACTGAATTTCTTTCATGTAGTCTAAATAAAAATAAATTCTCCTAATGTTGACTTTAGAGAAATTCTAATTTTAAGGGGTTTTACATTTTTGTCACTTACCTATTAACTTTGTGTGTCATTGTGTGTGGGGTGTGCACATGTCATGGAGCAAGTTCATAAAGCAGAGGAAAACTTGGGAGAGTCACTGTTCTCCTGCCAACAATAGTTCTTGGGGACTGAGCTCAGGTTGTCTTGCTCCACCCTGAGCATCTTTAGAGCATCAAACCAGCCCCCAAGAAAGTCTACTTTTTAAAAAGACAGTTTCATAATTAGAGTTTTAAAAATATTTTCAGCTTTGAAGACATCAAAACAAGTAGCATTGTGTAGACGGAACAGGTTATATTTAGGAATATATACATATATACATGTGCATATGCATATTTGCATGTAATAACAAGCAAAAATGGAGATTTGACTGACATTGTTTGTGGAGATTATATGGGAGGATTTTGAGGGAGAAAAGGGAAAGGAAATTTAATTCAATTATAATCTCAAGAATTTAAAAACAAAATTAATAAAAAAATATTTCTCATAAATTATCTTTCCTGGCTAATATCTAGCATAAATTTTGAAATTGGATTCCAAAAGGAATATACCCCACGATAACTTAGAAGGAAGGTTTGAGTTGCTGGTAGTTGAATTTTGAAAATTCATTAGTACTATCATTTTTGTTCAACTTCTTGGATAATATTTTCATAACTTTCTAAAACTATGCAGATTTTTCCTTACCAATTTGACAACACAGTACAACTTCTGTTTGTGCAGGAGGCTGTGTGACCCCACCTTCTGAGAAGAGAAGGAATTTCTAATTCATTCCTCCTCTTCCATCAAAGACAAGAAACCACAATGGACACGACCCTAATGGTCAACATGCCCAGGCCCCTGTGTCTCATTGAGAATGTGAAAGGACAACTGAAGCCTAATCAGGAGGCCCTGAGGATCCTGTCCGCGATCACACAGCCAGTGGTGGTGGTGGCCATCGTGGGCCTCTACCGCACAGGCAAATCCTATCTGATGAACAAGCTAGCTGGGAAGAAAAAAGGTGAGCGCCTCCAGCAATGCTTTGCTGAGTCCCCTCTGTTCAACCACACTTTGAGCCTGGGTTGTGAGGAGAAAAATTAGAGGAGATGGATTCTGAAACCTATTCTGCCTCTCAAAGTTGGGCTTTTCATCTTTATTCTATCAGGAAGTCAGTCAGCTCCATGAAACTCTTTACTATCTTCAGCTCCGTTTTAAAAGTAGGAAATCATTCCTGTCCTAGAAAGGGAGAAAGCACTAATAAGAATAATTAAATTACATAACAATCTGTAGCACGGTCATTAAAAAGTGAAGACTGGGCCAAGAAGAGGCTCAGCAGGTAAAGGCCCTTGCTGCACAAGGCAACCTGGATCCAGTACCTAGAAGTAGAAAGAGAGCCAAATCTACAGAGCTGTTCTCTGACCTCCACACACATGCTGTGACATAAACATACCCAAACACGCACACACACACACACACACACACACACACACACACACACACACACACACAAAATGATCATGACTTTTTAATTAATAAGCTCATGGGGTAACAGTGAGTTTCCTTGGGCCTTTAAAGTTCTAAAAATGTTTCAGACTGAATTGGAAATTCTTACTGTCATGAATAAACATAACATAAAATTAACTCTTCTGATCATTTTAACTGCAGTTCTACGTCATTAAACAAATGAACATCATTTTACAATCATCACATTAATCCATTTATATATTTATTATATTTTCCCCAACACAAACTAAGTACCCATCATACAATAATTATCTATGGCAGTGACATTTTGCTTGTGTTTTAACAAATAAAGCTTGCCTGAAGATCAGAGTGCAGAGCTATGCCCCTAGAGGCCATGGAGTTGTGGCACACACCTTTAATCCCAGGACTCAAGAGACAAAAGCAGAGGGATCTCTGTTAGTTCAAGTTCACCCTGGGTTACACAAAACTGAATCAGTCTAAAAGAGAAACAGAACTAACACAAAGGTGATCCCAGCAACTGAGATCCCAAACTTTCAATCCCAGCACTAGAGAAGCATATGTGTCTGGACGAAACAGGAACTCAAGGCTATTTGCATGAGTCTGAGGAGCAGTGCAGTCTAGAGCAGTCTGAGGTTGGGTTGCTCACCCCTTCTGTGTGAGCATTGTAGAGGTGAGAACTCTCTACTGGCTGGTGCTTTGCTTCTCTAATCTTCAGCTTTAACACCAATATCTCTTTCTGGGTTTTTATTATTCATGCTACAACACATTCCCCCATTTTCCTTCACTGTTCTATAATCTGTTCCTGTGGTTTTGGACCTTAAAATATGAAGGGCATGAGGACTGTAGTGCAGAGAAGAAACCCCAGCAGTTTCTGAGGTTGGAAGGTTTGAATCCTCTAGTGTAACCACAGCTTTGATAACCAAACAAGGTCTTTGTCACAAAGAGAATGGGCATTTCATGTAGTTCTGATATTTTAAAAACATTCTTTACTGCAAACTTTAAACATTTTTTGTGTTTTCTGATTTTTTCTAAAAACAATTTGTGCGTTTCCCTTTGTAGATTTGTCAGCTTGTAGATGAAGTGCATTCCCAAGTAGTTTATTCTTCAGATGGAATTATAGGTGGGATTTCTTAATATCCCGTACATTATTGTTCAGTTACTCATTATTGGTGCATAGAAAATGAACTAATCATGTAAATCACAGCAATAATTTGGTGTGTTGTAGCTATACTGGATTAATTGATTACATTCAACATTATTCTCTGGGAAATTTAAATGTACTAACATATAAGATCATACCAACTGTTACAAAGATAACCTTATTTTTCCTTTCCAATTTGGCTGCCAGTTATTTCTTTTTTTTCCTAATTACTTTGTCTGACACTTCAAGTACTGTATTGGACACCACTGTCCAAACTGGGCACATTTTTCTCTCTTATGATTTTACATGAAAAAACTTTTAAGATTTTACTGTTGAGTATAATATTGTCATGGATTTTCATATATGGAATTTCATACATTTGCATTAAGAAATTCTTCTAGTCTGTTGAATACAATTTGTAATGATAACTGTGGGGTATTTTCAAGGTTTTGCTATTTCTCTAGTTGCAAGGTTTCAGTTAGCTCTATTGACTTGAATTGTTCTCATCTTTACATCAATTTCCTGAAACACTTGTTTCTAACTCTTCATCCACTTTGTCCTCTCTTCTTCATGCCACAGGCTTCTCTCTGGGCTCCACAGTGCAGGCTCATACAAAAGGAATCTGGATGTGGTGTGTGCCTCATCCCCAGAAGAAGGATCACATACTTGTTCTGCTTGACACCGAGGGCCTGGGCGATGTTGAGAAAGTAAGAATTGAGAGTTCAATTTGCAATTCAGACTCTGATATCTAAATATCCGTGATTTTTAAACAAGAGCTTGAATTTATTGTAACACATGTAATTAATTTTAGCCTCTACTAATAAATAAACAGTCTCAGAGAGTAACAGGATAGTCCCTCTGTAGTATTTCAGCAACTAAAAGGCTGTAGCCTAAACCTGGTACCCAATCTTATGAAAGTACTAAGGACAAATTTAGTGTCATGTATCTGACCTACACAGAACTTCAGTTACAAATTTGAATTTCAGAGCCCATAACTGTGTTTAAATGGAAACCTTAAATGGAGATTTCGTTTAACCTCAACTTTCTAATCTATCAACTGAAATAAATAAACAGTACTCTACCTGTCTTATGGCATTTCTTTGAATATTTAATAAAATAATGTTACTTGTATATAATGAGTACCCACGAATGACGTATATTGACCTATCTAAAGTCCTGTGTGATTGACGAGCTAGGGCAAAGTCCTATTTTCCATTTCCAGCATGAGAAGAAAGAATTAAAAGAGATTTTAAAAAATAGCCACAGGCATTATTAACCACATGAAAGTATATCTTCTCATTAGCAATGAGAGAAATACTTAAATCTACAGCATATTTGAAATTTTAGAATATCTACAAACATCTGTTTAACAATTACCTGCCAATGGTCAAAAGAAAGCCTTCAAAGTATAAGTACAAACCAAAACTCTCAGTAAAAATATTCAAAATTCAATGGAATTCATGATTCCTTTTGTTTAGAGTTGTCCTGTATAGGTTTTTAAGACGGCATTAGTTTTACTAATCACTGTGGAAAACATCTGATTAAACAAGCATACTTTTGTCGCTGCTCACCTGAAAACAGACACAGAATAAACTCCTGACCCATGTGAGTTCTGACTTCCAGGGTGATAATCAGAATGACTGCTGGATCTTTGCCCTGGCTATACTTCTAAGCAGCACCTTTGTGTACAACAGCATTGGAGCCATCAACCAGCAGGCCATGGACCAACTGTAGTATCCTTTCTGTGATGGAGAACATCGCTGCTTGGGAATGCTGCAGAGTCAGTGTAAACAGACAGGAGACAGAATAATCCTAGCATAAAGGGGAGATCTCATAAAGCAGCTAATGAGCTCACACTGATTTAGCACAGGGCAAAGTCATGTGCGGGGTGGATGAGACCAATGTGAGGTGAGATGACAGGGGAACCTGGTCACTCACCACTTTTCCTTAGCTACCCAGCTATGTGACCGAGCTGACAGATAGGATAAGAGCACGGACCTCAACTGACCAGGAGGATGACATGGAAGACTCATCTGAGTTTGTGAGCTTCTTCCCTGAGTTCGTGTGGAGCCTGAGGGATATGACCCTGAAATTGGAAGTAGATGGATGCTGTGTCACAGCCGATGAGTACCTGGAAAATTCGCTGAAGCTCAAGGAAGGTACAGAGATTGACACTGTAGATGAAAATGCCAGAAATTAGTATCCTTTTAGGGTGCTTATATTCAGTTTTTCATTTCCCTGTCTCCGGCTATTCCTAAGAAGTAATTCCTATTTACCATCAACTAACTGAACCGATATTAACTACGTTAAGCTGCAGTTTCTTTGGCTGCCCTTTTCCAAGTACTGTTATCAGATCAGGTTCATCTCTTTACTTAATTTACCACTTATGTGGCAAAGATGCACATAACCAAAAACTGTAACACAGAGAGAAGTTTATATGAAGAAATTCTTAAATGTCAAACTGACACTTCCACTAGTTATTCACTCTCCTTTGGAAAAATTATTTCCCCAGGTACCTGCAAAGAAATTGAAAAATACAACTTGCCCCGACTCTGTATTCGAAAGTTCTTTCCAAAGAAGAAATGTTTTATCTTTTGTCCACCCACGGAGTGGAAAAAGCTTTCCCAACTGGAGACATTGCAAGAACACGAGATTGATTCTGAATTTTTGCAGCAAGTAGCAGAATTCTGCTTGTACATCTTGAAGAATTGCAAAACAAAAACTCTTCCAGGAAGCATCCTGGTCAATGGGCCACGTGAGTCCCCATCTTAATTTTCTACTCATTTCAAGATGAAAGGAGAGTGAAACATTCATAAATTTTCCCCTTTCAGAAGTGTAGGGGCTATGAATATTTATGTTAAATTCCAGACAGTTTACAGTGATCTACTAGTGAGATAGGTAGTGGAAACCTAGTTTAAATAAGTTAAGCTAAGGTAAGTCTCCATATTGTTGTGTAAAGATATATGCTTCTGTTCAGTATCGAACCAACACATGTAAGGTCATTTAAATTTAATTAAAATAAGTGAAATTATTTCAGCTTAAAAAGTGAAAAAATTAGGTTATACTGCCTCATTTCTCATGGTTACTGTGAGATAAAGCACAGCCATTAAACAGTTGGTTCCCCTTAGAAATTTCTATAAAGCAACACTGAACTAGAGTGAGACAAAGAAGAACAATTTTTTTTTAGACCATACCTACTTTAACAAGGTCCTATTCCCAATATTGTCACTCCCTTTGGGGGGCATTTTCCTTCAAACCACCACAGCCATGTTCTAGATCAAGGACTATTTTTACTTTTACCTTTTCCATGATCCACAAAGAGGGTCAAAGCAGAAATAGAATTGGGAACTGCCTATATGAAATCTCTAAATATTGTTCCACAATGTAAATTCTTTTTTTTGTTAATATTTTTTTTATTTTCCATTTTAAATTTAGATAAGAAACAAGGTTGCTTCACAAGTCAGTTCCAGGTCCCTCTCCCTTCCCCTCCACTCCTCCCGTACCCTCCCCCCATCCCCCCCCCCGTTACCCCCTCATTCCCCCAGGGAGGGTGAGGCCCTCCATGGGGGTGTCCATAGTCTGTCATTTCATATAGGGCAGGGCCTAGACCCTTCCCCAAGAGTTCAGGGTGAGAGTGCACCTCACATTGTTCTATGGGAGTCCAGAGTCCGTGTGTATACTTGGTATGGGTACTGATCTGCTGTCCAAGGCTCAATAGATTACCTAGGCCTCCTCACTGACACCCAGATTCAGGGGGTCTTGATCAGTCCCATGCTGGATTCCCAGGCTGATGCCTGGGATTCAAGAGTTAACCTTTGTCTGGTCAGCTGTTTCTGGGGGTTAAACCAGCCCAGTCTTAATCCCTTTGATCATCAGTCCTCCCTCTCTGATACTGGCTTTCTTGAGTTCAGCTCAGTACTTAACCAGCCACTAAATGAAGTTTCTGTTTCCCAGACTCTCTGGCCATAGGATTGTAGGCTGGCACTCCCCAGATCTATGTCTAAAATCCATATATGAGAGAGTACATGCCATGTTTCTCTTTTTGTGACTGGGTTACCTCACTCAGGATGATTTCTTCTAGTGTCATCCATTTGCCTGCGAATCTCATGATTCCATTATTTTTTTCTGCTGAATAGTACTCCATTGTGTAGATGTACCACATTTTCTCTATCCACTCTTCGGGTGAGGGACATCTAGGTTGCTTCCAAGTTCTGGCTATTACAAATAAAGCTGCTATGAACATAGTGGAACAGACATCTTTGTTGTATGAATGGGCATCTTTTGGATATATGCCTAAGAGTGGAGTTGCTGGGTCTTGTGGTAGGTTTATTCCCATTTTTCTGAGGAATCTCCATACTGCTTTCCAAAGTGGCTGAACCAGTTGGCACTCCCACCAGCAATGGAGGAGTGTCCCCCTTTCACCACATCCTCTCCAGCATACATTGTCATTGGTGTTTTTGATTTTAGCCATTCTGACAGGAGTGAGATGGTATCTCAGAGTTGCTTTGATTTGCATTTCCCGGATGGCTAAGGATGTTGAGCACTTTCTCAAGTGCCTCTCAGCCATTTTAGACTCCTCTATTGAAAACTCTCTATTTAGTTCTGCAGCCCACTTTTTAATTGGGTCCTTTGCTGTTTTGGAGACTTGCTTCTTGAGTTCTTTGTAAATTTTGGAGATCAACCCTCTGTCAGATGTGGGATTAGTGAATATTTTTTCCCATTCTGTGGGCTGCCTTTTTGTCTTGCTGACTGTGTCCTTTGACTTACAGAAGCTTCTCAGTTTCAGTAGGTCCCATGTATTAATTGTTGATCTCACTGTCTGTGCTACTGGTGTTATGTTCAGGAAGCTGTCTCCTGTACCAATTCGTTCAAGGGTACCACCCACTTTCTCTTCTAAGAGGTTCAGTGTGGCTGGATTTATGTTGAGGTCTTTGATCCATTTGGACTTAAGTTTTGTGCATGGCGATAAACATGGATCGATCCGCATTCTTCTACATGCCAGTCTCCAATTATGCCAGCACCATTTGTTGAAGATGCTTTCTTTATTCCATTGTATATTTTTAGCTTCTTTGTCAAAGATCAGATGTTCGAACGTGTGTGGGTTAATACTCGGATTTTCATTTCGATTCCATTGGTCTACCTGTCTATTTTTGTGCCAATACCAAGCTGTTTTCAGGACTATAGCTCTATAATAGAGCTTGAGGTCAGGGATGGTGATGCCTCCGGACGTTGCCTTGTTGAACAGGGTTGTTTTGGCTATCCTGAGTCTTTTGTTTTTCCATACAAAATTGATTATTGTTCTTTCAAGGTCTGTGAAGAACTGTGCTGGGATTTTAATGGGGATTGCATTGAATCTGTAGATTGCTTTTGGCAGGATTGCCATTTTTACATTGATCCTACCTATCCAAGAGCATGGGAGATCTTTCCATTTTCTGAGGGCTTCTTTAATTTCTTTCTTTAAAGATTCAAAGTTCTTATGATACAGGTCTTTCACTTGTTTGGTTAGCGTTACCCCAAGGTATTTTATGTTGTTTGTGGCAATTGTAAAGGGTGATGTTTCTCTGATTTCTCTTTCAGCCCTTTTATCATCTGTATATAGTAGGGCTACTGACTTTCTTGAGTTGATCTTGTAGCCTGCCACTTTGCTGAAGGTGTTAATCGGCTGTAAGAGTTCCCTGGTAGAGTTCTTTGGGTCACTGATGTAAACTATCATATCGTCTGCAAACAGTGAAAGTTTGACCTCTTCCTTCCCAATTTGTATCCCCTTGATCCCCCTTTGTTGTCGTATGGCAACAGCTAGAACTTCAAGTACCATGTTGAAAAGGTATGGAGAGAGTGGACAGCCTTGTTTTGTTCCTGATTTTAGAGGAATTGCATTGAGTTTCTGTCCATTTAGTTTGATGTTGGCTGTTGGTTTACTGTATATGGCTTTTATTATGTTTAAGTATGTCCCTGTTATCCCAGATCTCTCCAAGACCTTTATCATGAAGGGGTGTTGGATTTTGTCAAAGGCTTTTTCAGCATCTAGTGAGATGATCATGTGATTTTTGTTTTTCAGCTTGTTTATATGGTGGATTACGTTGATGGATTTTCGTATGTTGAACCATCCGTGCATCCCTGGGATGAAACCTACTTGATCGTGGTGAATGATTGTTTTGATGTGTTCTTGGATCCGATTTGCCAGTATTTTATTGAGTATTTTTGCATCAATGTTCATGAGGGATATTGGTCTGAAGTTCTCTTTCTTGGTTGTATCTTTGTGTGGCTTGGGGATCAAGGTTATTGAAGCCTCATAGAAAGAGTTTGGCAAAGACCCTTCTGCTTCTATTGTGTGGAACACTTTGAGAAGAATTGGTATAAGCTGTTCTTTGAATTTGTGGTAGAATTCTGCACTGAGGCCATCTGGACCTGGACTTTTTTTGGTTGGGAGACTTTTGATGACAGCTTCTATTTCCATAGGGGTTATAGGTCTATTTAAATTGCTTATCTGTTCTTGATTTAGTTTTGGCAAATGATAGCTGTCCAGGAAGTCATCCATTTCCTTTAAATTTTCGAATTTTGTGGAGTACAGGTTTTCAAAGTATGACCTAATGATTCTCTGGATTTCCTCAGAGTCTGTTGTTATGTCCCCCTTTTCATTTCTGATTTTGTTAATTTGCGTGTTCACTCTCTGCTGTTTGGTAAGTTTGGACAAAGGTTTGTCTATCTTGTTGATTTTCTCAAAGAACCAACTCTTCGTTGCATTGATTCTTTGTATTGTTTTCCTGGTTTCTACTTTGTTGATTTCAGCCCTCAATTTGATTATTTCCTGGTGTCTACTCCTCCTGGGGGAGTTTGCTTCTTTGTGTTCTAGAGCTTTTAGCTGTGATGTTAATTCTCTGGTATAACTGTTTTCCTGTTTCTTCATGTGAGCACTTAGTGCTATGAACTTCCCCGTAGCACTGCTTTCAAAGTGTCCCATAGGTTTGGGTATGTTGTGTCTTCATTCTCATTGAATTCGAGGAAGTCTTTAATTTCTTTTTTATTTCCTCTTTGACCCAGGGATGGTGCAGTTGAGCATTATTCAATTTCCATGAGTTTGTAGGTTTTCTGCAATTTGTGTTGTTGTTGAATTCTAATTTTAAGGCATGGTGGTCTGATAAGATGCATGGAGCTATTCCAATTTTTTTGTTGCTGCTGAGGTTTGATATGTTGCCAAGTATGTGGTCGATTTTTGAGAAGGTTCCATGTGGTGGTGAGAAGAAGGTATATTCTTTTTTATGTGGATGAAATGTTCTATAGATATCTGTTAATCCCAGTTGGGTCATTACTTCTATTAGACCCTTTGTTTCTTTGTTGAGTTTCTGTCTGGTATTCTTGTCTAGTGGTGAGAGTGGTGTGTTGAAATCTCCCACTATAACTGTGTGGGGCTTTAGATGAGATTTAAGTTCTAATAATGTTTCTTTAACGAATGTGGATGCCTTTGTATTGGGGGCATAGATGTTCAGGATAGACACTTCATCTTGGTGGGTTTCACCTGTGATGAGTATGTAATGACCTCCTTCATCTCTTTTGATTGATTTTATTTTAAAGTCTAGTTTTTTAGATATTAGGATTGCTACCCATGCTTGTTTCTTGGGTCCATTTCATTGAAAAAATTTTTCCCAACCTTTAACTCTCAGGTAATGTCTGTCTTTGAGGGTGAGGTGTGTTTCTTGTATGCAGCAGAAGGAAGGGTTCTGTCTTTGAATCCATTCTGCTAGTCTGTGTCTTTTTATGGTTGAGTTAAGGCCGGTAATATTGAGGGATATTAATGACCATTGATTGCTCATCCTTCTTCGATTTGCAATGGTTGTTGTTGGTGGAAATATGGGTGGAATTTCACCCCTTTGTTCTTTTGGCTGTTGGTAGAGAGGGATTCTCTAATGCTTATGTTTTTCTGGTTGTAGTTAGCTTCCTTGGGTTGGAGTTTTCCTTCCAAAATTTTCTGTAGGGTTGGGTTAGTGGACACATATTGGTTGAATCTAGTTTTGTCATGGAATATCTTGTTTTCTCCGTCTATAGTGATTGAGAGCTTTGTGGGTTATAGTAGTCTGGGCTGGCATCCATGGTCTCTTAGTGTAGGTAGAATGTCTATCCAGGACCTTCTGGCTTTCAGAGTTTCCATGGAGAAATCAGGTGTAATTCTTATAGGTCTGCCTTTATATGTTACTTGACCTTTTTCCTTAGCTGCTCTTAATATTCTTTCTTTATTCTGTATGTTTGGGGTCTTGATTATTATGTGGTGAGGGGATTTTTTTTTTGTGGTCCACTCTATTTGGTGTTCTGTAGGCTTCTTGTACCTTCATTGGCATGTCTTTCATAAGGTTGGGAAAGTTTTCTTCTATGATTTTGTTGAATATGCCTTCTGCCCCTTTGAGGTGGATTTCTTCTCCTTCTTCTATACCTATTATTCTTAGGTTTGGTCTTTTCATGGTGTCCCATAATTCCTGAAGGATTTGTTGGATTTAAGGTTTTCTTTGGTTGATAAATCCATTTCTCCTAGTGTATCTTCAACACTTGAGATTCTCTCTTCCATCTCTTCTATTCTGTTGGTAATGCTTGTATTGGTAGTGCCTGACTGTTTGTCCAGCTTTTCTATTTTCTGCCTTTCTTCAGATTGTGTTTTTTTTAATGTCTCTATTTCAGTTTTCAACCCTTGTAGCGTTTGCATTGCTTCTTGCAATTTTCTGTTTTTCTGTTCGTCCGTTTGTTGCCTTTTATGAATTTTTTGGTTTGTTCTTTCTTCCATTTCTTGCATTTTTTGGTTTGCTTTTTGTTCCATTTCTTGGATTTTGTGCTTTGTTTCTTCTTCCATTTCCTGCCTTTTTTGGTTTGTTTCTTCTTTCATTTTTTTCATTTTTTGCTTTGTTTTTTCTACCATTTCTTGCATTTTTTGCTTTGTTTCTTCTTCCATTTCCTGCCTTTTTAGGTATGTTTCTTCTTCTAATTCTTGCATTTTTTGCTTTGTTTTTTCTTCCATTTCTTGCATTTTTTGCTTCATTTCTTCTTCCATTTCATGCCTTTTTCGGTTTGTTTTTTCTTCCAATTCTTGCATTTTTTGGTTTGTTTTTTCTTCCATTTCTTGCATTTTTTGGTTTGTTTTTTCTTCCATTTCTTTGAGGGATTTTCCAGTGTCCTCTTTTAGGGCCTCTATCATTTTCATGAAAGTGCTTTTAAGGTCGTTCTCTTCTGCTACCTTCGCGTTGGAATATTGGGGTCTTGCTGGTGTGGAGTCTCTAGAATCTGGCAGTGTCATATTTGTTTTTCTGTTGCTGACTGTGTTTTTGTATTGTCTCTTTCCCATCTCTTCTTCTAGTGGGTGCAGAGAGAGCCCCTTCCTGGTCTGGGGACCAGAGTTCCCTTTTGGTGGGTGCTAGTAAGTCCAGTAATCTGGTGGTTCTTCTATACCTTGTCCAAATGCTGGTCCGTGGGTGGAGAAGAAGAACAGGAATCTGGGGCGCTTAGCCTCCTACCTGGTCCCCTGGACCCTTTGCTGGGTCCTGTTGTACCTGATCCGGAACAGCTACTCCCCTGGTCTCCCTGGCTCCTCTAGTTTCCTGGTCTTGTTGGTGGGAGAGAAGATCTGGAGTCTGGGGTGCTTGGCTCCTGCCGGGATTGGGAGCTCTGTGCAGTTCCCAGGCGATCTGCAGTCACTGGAACACAGGCCGGGAAGCCGGCCTGTTTACCTGATGCTGCCAGAGGAACAGCTACTCCCCTGGTCTCCCAGCCTCCTCTCGTTTCCTGGACTCGTTGGTGGGAGAGAAGATCTGGAGTCTGGGGTGCTTGGCTCCCGCCGGGATTGGGAGCTCTGTGTAGTCCCCAGGCGATCTGCAGTCACTGGAACACAGGCCGGGAAGCCGGCCTATTTACCTGATGCTGCCGCAGGAACAGCTGCTTCCCTGTACTCCCAGCCTCCTCTGGTTTCCTGGTCTCGTTGGTGGGAGAGAAGATCTGGAGTCTGGGGTGCTTGGCTCCCGCCGGGATTGGGAGCTCTGTGCAGTCCCCAGGCGATCTGCAGTCACTGGAACACAGGCCGGGAAGCCGGCCTATTTACCTGATGCTGCCACAGGAACAGCTGCTTCCCTGTACTCCAAGAAGAACACTTTTTGATAATGGAAGTAATATTTTTTCACACACATTTAAAACCTTCCAAGGCAGTAATATAGAGGACTTACTAAGTGGTCCTCAACCTCCCTAATGCTGCAGCCCTTTACTACAGTTCCTCATGCTGTGGTGACCCTCAACTACAAAATTACTTTTGTTGCTACTTTGTAACTGTAACTTTGCTACATTTATTAATCTTAATGTAGATATCTGATATTTCCAATGGTCTCAGAGGATCACAGAGGGGTCTCCACCCACAGGTCAAGAAACATTGTGAGAAGTCTTAGTCTAAATGTGTTGGAGGACTGCCATATTCATGGGCAATATACACAGGCCTGTTTTTATCTTTTCCTTGGAGAATTAAGTTCTACTTTAGTGGATGTCATCATTTGCTCTCTGTTTATAGGACTAGAAAGCCTAGTGCTGACGTATGTTGAAGCCATCAGCAGTGGAGACATGCCCTGCATAGAGAATGCAGTCCTGGCTTTAGCAAAGATAGAGAACTCTGCTGCAGTGCAAAAGGCCATCACCCACTATGACCATCAGATGAGCCAGAGGGTGCAGCTGCCCACAGAGACCCTCCAGGAACTGCTAGACCTGCACAGGACCTGTGAGAGAGAGGCCATAGAAATCTTCCTCAGGACTTCCTTTAAAGATGAAGACCATTCATTTCAAAAGGAACTGGGGGTAATTTCCTCCTATGTTTATATGTCAATATTGTATAAGGCAAAGTACATATCAGACAATGAAATGAGTGTGAATTTTGAAGAAAACCATCCTTTGTATCCCTTAAAATAGTGACAACTGCCTCTTTATAAGCATAATACTCAGAAGAGGCATTTTTAAAAATATGGACTCAAGTTTGAAATAATTTTATGAAAATCACTTTAGCTTAAGTGCACAAAATTAGTAATTGGTGCTTCAAATTAAATTGTATACTTGACAGACCAATTTTCTTTCACTTGGCCAAAGAGATGAACTTGTAACTTTTGTTGTCTCCTCAGACTTATGCTTTCTTTTCTTCATTTCTTTCATAGCAACTATAAGTTTAGTTTAAAAGCAAAGTTTGCACATTATGTCAGTATGTTTGGTACAAACCTCTGAGCATCATTGCTTGTAAGGAGGAGGTTCTTAAGAAGGATCCAAACTCAAAGAAGAGCCACAGTTTTTCTCAACTAGCGGCAAGTTTCTGGAGGCATTAAAGGTTTGGGGGAAGCCCTTGGAGAAATTCTGACCTTTGTTAACATCTCCCTCTGGTATTCTTTTTAATACCCGTTTTCTCACTACAGCTGCAGCTAGAAGATAGGTGGGATGACTTTTGTAAACGCAATCTGGAAGCATCATCAACCCGTTGCTGCACATTGCTTCAGGATATCTTCAGACCTCTTGAAGAACATGTGCGGAATGGCACTTTTTCTAAGCCTGGAGGTTACGGCCTCTTTGTTCAGGAGACACTAAGGCTGAAGAAAAAGTACTATGGAGAACCAAAGAAGGGCATACAGGTAACCAAGACATTTATCAGTGTGCTCTACCACTGCTGGAATGCCCCCTTGATCCAAACGTTCAGAAAATGTCACCTTTGATTGATGGATGATTACTTTTAAGTTCTACATTCTGGCCATTTCAACATTATGTCTATGTCTCTCTGAACTGTTTTCTCCTGAGGGCTTTTCACCTCAGCATCTAAACGCTCAAGACTACCCACTCCAACGCATATGCCTTCATCCATACGTACAAAATCACTTCCTCCCAGTTATCAGCCAGTAGGGGGCCTCCATTTGGCTGCCTTGCATGGTTTGCCCTGTGGTAGGGAGTCTTAGATGAGGAACAGTTCTTGAGGGTGGTAGGGAGACATAGATAGATTTCCTTCCACTGACTTATGTTCTCTGGACCCTAAGGCTGAAGAGGTTCTACAGACTTACTTGCAATCCAAGGAGGCTGTTTCTAATGCAATTTTACAGACAGATCAGAGTCTGACAGAAAAGGAAAAGCAGATTGAAGGTAAGAAATAAACAAAAAAATACTTACAAAACCTTGGAACAGTTTAACTGTTTGCCTGTCTTAAAATAGTAACTCTTAAATTGAATCAAGAAGGAGAAAGATGAGCCTATCCCCAAAGCTTGTTCTGACCATGGTGCACATGGTCACTGGTGCTATGGTAGCAGTTACCTCAGGAGTAAGATAGCCTTATAGGCTTTTTTTCAAATAGTGATGACAACAAAGGACTACAGAGAAATTTCATGGTGAAGAGCCCTAGATGCTCTTCCAGAGGACCCACCTAGTGGTTCACAACTGGCTGTAGCTCCAATACAAAAGCACCCCTTCTGGCCTCCACAGGCAACAGGCAATTCACATGACACATGCAAAACACCCATACACATAAAATAAAATAAAACAGGCCCAGAACCAGAGTTATGACTTGATCTGCCCCAACATCCACCCTATCTATGGACTTCTGGAGCATGTGGAGGGGTGTGACCCAAGACCCAAAGCTGCAGGATCTCCACAACACAGGGCAACAACAGGATATCCGAGATGAGTCCTAGTGAGGTTCTGGCAACAATAGTGTAGTAGAAACCAGAGGTCTCGAACCAGACCAATGATTCTTTGCAATATGAACACTTGCAAGTAAAGATATATGAAGGCGTTTACTGCATGTCTGACTGTGTCACACTGTACCTTCCATGGTGAGATTTTTAATTTATTCCCTTTAGAAAAATTTTGTTTGTTTTCTCTGCCTCACCTCTTCTCTTAAATTTTGTTTTACCTTGGGGAGTCTTCAGGGGAGGAGGGTGGATGAAAAAGGATGAGGATGGAGATACATGATGCAATAAATAAAAAGAAAGAAAAAATTGAAAGAAGAACAAAAAAAAACCTAAAATGTAAGAGTATCAAGAAACCACGGAAGGAAGAAGGAGGCAGTAGTGTCTCTCTCTGGGAGGACTTCTGTGACAGAATGCCATAGACAGGTGCCACAGGTAAAACAAAAGTAATTCCCACAATTCTGGAGAACAAGAATCCAGAGTCTAGAGTCTCAGATGATCAAGAATGCCCTCTCTAGAATCTTGATTTCCCTCCCAATACATCCTTGCAGGGTGGGAAGATTGAACTCTGGTTTTCTTACTTCTTACAACAGCACTGAGTTCCTGTGGCAGCTCCATCCTCACAGTGATTTAAATCCAATTACCTCACCAGAATCGTGCCTCTGTGTATCATCACATTGTGTCTACAACTTCAACCTGTGAGTCCACAGAGAGCACCAGAACTAGGTGCCTTCCCGCTGTGGACCCACATAACATTTATTTCCCCTCTTTCTCAGTGGAGCGAAAGAAAACTGAGTCTGCAGTGGCCGCTGCAAAACTGTTGGAGGAAACACAGAAGAAGAACGAGAAGCTGATGGAGCAGAAAGAAAGGAGTTATCAGGAACACATGAGACAGCTGACTCAGAAAATGGAAAATGACAGAATACAGCTGAAGGCAGAGCAAGAGCGGACATTAGCTCTTAAACTTCAGGTACACTGTCATTCTTATCCTCCAGAATATTTAACAGAAACCACTCTGAGGGGGTTAGATAATCACATGGTATAAGGAATGCATACTCCTGTAGCAGCCCCTTCAAGCTTACTGTACCTACCACTGTGCATTGATAACTGTCCAAAGCCACTTGATCACATTTTAAAAATGCCAGTAGATTGTACTTTCCTGAATCACTACAAACAACAGCTATCCACAGACATGCATTGTGCAAGTATTTTACAAGCTTTATGTTTATACATCAAATTTCATTCAGGATTTAAACTTTAAAAATATTTGGAATATTTTGGAGAGAGAGAGAGAGAGAGAGAGAGAGAGAGAGAGAGAGAGAGAGAGAGAGATTAGAGATTGTACATTAGTACATTGGTACAAGGGACCCTATAGAAACCCCCGAACATCAAAGGCCATTGCCAAGTCTATTGGTTGCTCTCTACAACTTGATGGCAAGTCCCTATTGCTGGAGACAATACTTTCTTATGTCACTAAACACAGAGAAGTCAAGCTGGTACCTAACCAGAAGCCTCATGCCTCATTCCTACTGACTAGCACTCATGGTACTGGAAGTCACTCTGCACACTACAGTAGAGGAAGGCAATCATTAGTATCACACAGCTATAAGCCCTGTAACCTACAACAATGACCTGCTTGTAAGATATATTGTGCAAGAGTGACCACATGCAATGGGAATAGCCAACCATTTTTAATGATTTAAGGCTCCCTCCTGACATGGATAATGTTGAGAAGAACCTGAGACTAGGTCACAGACCTATGATAAAAACTACTACTTCTATTTTGCTAAAGAAACCTGTCAAGCCAATGACTCATAATAACATACTGCTATACTCACAGATCAGGGCCTTTCTCACCCCACATCAGAGAAGCTTCTTCTTGCAGTAGACGGAAATGAACACAGAGAACTACAAACGGACAGTATGCAGACAATGGGAGATTTGGGGCCCTCAACCCTAACTGGGATGTCTTCATCAACACCCACCCCCCAAAGCTCAGGGATCTATGCAGAAGAGCCATACAGATTCTAAGAGCCAGAGGTGATGAATGACTCCAAGGAAATATCAATTTTCTGGAACAATAGGAACAATGCACATATGAGCTCACAGAGATTCGGGAAGAATGCACAAGACCTTTAAGGTTCAAGCCAAACAGGGTCCCAGCACTGAGAGTTAGAAACAGGGTCCTACCTCTAATCAAGAAGCTATCTGCAGTTGAAACCCATTGGCAAGGAAAAGCTTGGTTTTCTCCAATGAAGTCTTAATGAGTTTTACCAATCACACTTTAGGGCAGGCCCCACAATCAGGAATAACTGGCCAACACAGAATGAACTCAGTGGTATTTTTCTGGACTTGTGTTTCATTTTGCTTTGTTTGTTTTTTTGTCTTACTGATACAACCATTTGTGTGTGTGTGTGTGTGTGTGTGTGTGTGTGTGTGTGTGTGTGTGCTTCAGTACCAGGAATACATGAATGCACATATGGAAGCAAAATCATCTGGAAGAATAAAAATGACAAGAGGATATAGATGTGAGAAAATGTGGAAAGTCATGAAAAATAACATGACCAACATACAATATAGATTTGTACAAATGATTAACTTTGGCACTGTGTTGATGGAGCATAGGATCCAGCAGAGAGTTGTCATGCAGCAAGTCTGCAATGTGTGCATTCTTTGATTGATTCCTCATCTTGAAGGAAAGTAATCTGAGTTGTTCTAAGTAAATGTTCTAGGTTAGATCTCACACAAGAGTGTGTAGGTTAGGCAATTATCAATCTGATTTTGTCACACCTTGTCGTACTCTGGGAGCACCTAGAGTAAAAGACATATCAACAACTGATTCAAAATCAGTCTCCCAACACATTTCTCTTCATAGCCTCTCCTCTAAGTATTGAGTCTAATTGCCAATTCAGAAATGCACTGTAAGCCATATCAGTCCTTGAGGTCCTCAATTCCTATCTCTTACTCTACATATGAAATTTGGAAGCTTATATACAAATCCATGAGATGATATTTCACTTTATTCTGGGAGTCACAGACTTAAATTTCCATTATTCTTGTATAATAGAGTTATCTGTCAATGATTGTGAGACAATAACTCCAATGCCCTCATGGTTGTCAGTGGTGCTCAAGTTCATTATTTTTAGTGAATAATAATAAAAGAAATGCCCATATAAACTCAGTGGCGGAGAAATTTAAAAAAATATGTTTTCCCAAAGTTGGTAGAGTCCAGATTACTGGGACCTGTCATTACAGAATGCCAAGTGGGAAAGCAGGAACTATACTATATCAATGCCAGTTAATGGAAATTTTGTCTGGTTTAGGTGTGATGAGTAAATTCTCTGTGGATTCACAATTCCCAGGGTAGAATTTCAGATCAAAACTTTTTCACGTACAGTATATACACACTACATGTGACCAAATAATACCAGGGATTGTATTAAGGGCTGAAAACTCAAGAGAGGAATGGGAACTGAGTTGCATGAACAATATTTAAGAGTGAATACCAAAGGTCTTGGGGAAATTACTTAATTTCAAAAGCACTAATTTGGAAATTGTTTGGTAAGTTTTGTTACCTGTTCCTTTGGTGCAAAATTAAATACTCTCTTTCCCTCTTAGGAGCAGAAACAGCTACTCCAAGAGGGGTTCCAAGAAGAGAGCAGAAAGCTTCAAGAAGAGATAAAGAAAGTGGAGAAGAAATACAAAGAAACAAGTATAAGCACTCTAAATGTAAAACTATATAGAACAGGGTTGGTAAGAGGTCTTACCACATAAAAGGCATTTCGGAGAAGCCTGGAGACATGAGTCCTATAATAATGAACTTGGGGTATCTGGCATCTCACACTGCTTACCACTTGAAATCAAGATATTTATACTATCCCTGAGCCATGAGTCATGGCATTTATACCATCAGTGACTTACAAGTTAGCAAAATGAAATTACCTATAAATCCATTCTTCCATCCTAAGTTTTACATGTCATTTTAACTGTGTTATATACTTTAGCATAACCTTTACTGGCTTCTATATTTGAATTGTTCATCTTTCTTTCTAAAGATGCCATAAATTATGTAATTAAGGAGCATGAAAGGAGAGAGTGCTGCCAGGAAATTTGTGAGAGCTTTTCTTTCTCCATCAGTGTAATATTCACACTCTTCAACCCTGTGCTCTTGCTTACTTTTGTGCATTGAAGAGTGAATCAACTCTTAACTGTTGAGTATTCCTGCTGATAGGCCACAGACCACACATGATTATATACAAAGGGAAGCTCTGGGGCTGAAGAGATGGATCAATAGTTAGAGCACTGGTTGCTCTTCCAGAGAACTGGTTTAATTTCCAGCACATGAGTGGCAGCTCATAATTGTCTGTAGCTCTAGTTCCAAGGGATCCAGTGCCCTCTTCTGACCTCTATAGGCAAAAGGCACGCACAGTAAAACATTCAGGCAAAAATCCATATGTAGAAAGTAAAATAATAATTCTTTTTAAAATAAAAGGAAGCTCTTTATAGCCATCAAGTCCGATCACAATAGTTTCAGTGTGTGTCTGGTCTACAATTAACAAGTGGTAGGAAAGTAGTGAGAGAGCTATAGAAACCCCATCACCCACACACACACACATCAGTATTCACCCATTGCTCTATAAGTCTGTTAGTAATTAATGTATATCCTCAGAGATAGGTCTCCTTAGAGCAAAATAAGCAAGGATGCACCTTCACATCCCAAACTATGCTTTGGTGAGATATGTCAGAGGCATCACGGTCTCTCATAGGGATATTCTGTTACCACATAACTCCAAGTATCCAAAAGCAGACTACCAAACAGGTGTTGGCAGAAGATGAAGACATCATGGCAATCCTACATCTTTTTCTTTCTTTTTCCTCCACAGTGGATCATATGAAAGCTGAGTCTTCAAAGGCTACAGTAAAAATAGTGGAAGAAATGCAAAGGAAATATGATCAGATGATGGAAGATAAAGATAGGAATCACCAGAAACATTTGCAAGAGTTGACAAAAAAGATGGAGAGAGACCGAGCTCAGCAAGTAGCAGAGCAAGAGAATATAATAACTCTTATACTTCAGGTATTCTATTGTGCCATCCAACATTCTCATCTAATGGCAGGAATAAAAGACACCAATTAGAGGCTACTGCAGTTAATCTAGGTGAAGGACACTCTACTACAGTTTTATATCATTTGTGTCGGTATTTTAGAAAATCAGCAGTTGCTAAAATCCTCTTACTGTGCTCCCTGGAGCCTGCATTATACTCTCAGTCACTATATAGTAGCTAGTGTTCACCAAGCCCTGCACTAACAGCTGCCAATAAAATGTGTATTGTAGCCACATCAAATGATACAAAATTGGCTACCTTTTCTAAAAGGAAAATTGTGGTTGCAGAAGAGAAAAGGAATTGCTGTGCCACTTACCATGGTAAAATACCTCACACATATTTTCTACCTGGTGGAATCAATAGTCATTTTGTCTTTGTTGAAACACACGGGGAGATGCTCTCCTCACTGTTTTACCCTAACTTCTCCCTGGGCTTCATCTAAATGTGGAGAGGCTGTATGTTGAGGCAGAAGTGTATTCTGAGCAGCTGTAGTCCTATATTCTCAATTTTATTTTCTTATTATTAATAATCCCAATAGAATTCATGATCTAATTATACCTGTTTCTGAGCACCATGGAGAAAATCCTGCCAAGTGACCATAATTTTTAAATGAATACCCATACTGCAGAAGAAGGAAGTTGGAAGAGGAAAGGAGTGTGTTAATTATACACAATTGTGTTACCTATTGGATCAAGTATCCCAAAATAGAACTCTACAGCAGTAATAATACTTCAGGACTCCACAAATGAGTCTCTACTGAAGACTGTGAAGATGTGCTTGGGAAATAATTCCAAACACAGGAGTCTCAAGACAAAGTAACATGCTATAAGATAAGATAAGAACGATAAGACAAGAAAGACAAGATAGAAAGAGAGTTTCACATCTGATTAGGAAATTAGTCTGAGAAATGAAAGAGAAAGTTATTAGACAATTATGAAACAATTTCTGTGAGATCATTTTATGCTATGCCTTTTTAACCACCCTATTCCTCCTTAGGAGAGAGAACTACAATTCAAGGAAGAAATCTCTGAAGAGAGAAGAAAACATGAGAAGGAGATTCAGGATTTAGAGACAAAAAACAGAGAAACACTCCTAAAATGTAATAGACTGTACAATCATACAATCAATATTTCCCGGCCCCACTGTCACCAGAGTGCAATCAATAGCACTGAACATGAATGAATCATGCTTGCAGAGACCCTGGCCCCAAACACTGCAAAAAAGAAGACAGTGCATAAAGGACAATAGCTGCTACTGAGGCCATTTCTGTTGATTCCCCTCTTATTTTACTGCTGATGGTTTTAAGGATAGTTAAGTGCATACTATATCTCAAGTATTTACATTTAATTTAGATAAAATATAAATATTATAATAAGATATATTTTAAATAAGGAGCTATTGTGTACTCTGATTAAGGTATATTTCTCTTTCCTCATCCACACAATACTTTTAGACCCAGGCTCTGATTTAAGTGTTCACTCCCACTGTCAAATTTGGTAGGAATGACATGAATATAGAGAAAATTAGTTGCGAAGTGAACAAAGGAGCTTTATGTCCAACAAAGTATCACTATTAGGGGTTCAGTGAATAATGTTTCAGCTCACATTGAAGGAAATGTGGGGTTTTTTATTTTATTTATTTGTATAAAATAATGGTTTTTGTTAAATGGTCCCTTGAATGCTTAGTCATCTGAATTAGCCTAAATTCAGTGTGTAAAAGGTCCAAGAGGAGTCTTGTCCCTATGAAGAGCAAGTCTGTAGACCTTCTGACTCCCCTGTCAAGGAAGCCCCAGCATAACTACTGCCTTCTCATTGGTCCTGGCTCTGTTAAATCATATTTTCAGACTATAGCAAAAAGAGCAAAGCTGTGTCTTTACTCTTGAAAGTCATACCTGCCTTAGGAAAATGTGCCAGAGGAGCTATGGTCACTCCCAGAGAAATACTACCCCTAAGAATTCCCCACATAAAGAATCAACACACATAATTAGAGGGGGGAGAAGCTACTCATTGATCTTACATCTTTAATGCTCATAATTTTTATTCCCAGTCGAATCTGAACAAGCTCAGTCCTCAGAGAACACAATAAAAATGCTGAATGAGATGAAAGAGATGAACCTGAAGATTGTGGAACAGAAAGAAAAAGCTTTTGAGTATCATTTAAAACAATTGACTGAGAAAATGGACAGGGACACAGCGAAGCTACTGGCAGAGCAAGAGGAGGCCTTGACCAATAAGCTTCAGGTAATTCCTTGTGACATCTTAATTTTCTCATTCAGTGACCAGTGATGAAAGACATTGATTAATACTTAGTACACTTGATTAGGTAAGGACTTTCATGTGTAGACACCTTCACCTTTGTGTCTCTGACAAAGAAGGGCTCATTATAGAAAGATTATGCTCCATGAACTCTGAATCACTGTATCCCTCAAAAGATATAAGCAAATAACTAAAACCCCTGCACGAAGTACTTTAACCCATTGAACAATGCTTGTTTAAGGGCACAGACCTCCTCTATTACCTTTTTATTTCATTGTTTGTTAGACAGGATCCTTCTGTGAAGCTCAGGCTAGACTGGAACTTCAGGTCAACCTTCTTCAGTATCCCAAATCTGACAATACAGCCTTGTACCACTCCACTCGCACTGAGATACCTATAAGCATTCTAAAAAGTAGTTTCATCTGCCTAAGTTCACTTACAAGCACTGATTGTAGGTGCTTTCCTGTTTTTCTGACCTTGAGTCTGAGGTACACTATGCATAAATTCACGCCAAGAACACTTCAGTGCTTTACTCTTTGTGGTCCTGGCAAAATCTTACAGGTCAACATAAAATTCCCCAATCATGTGTCATTCTTTAATCTAGAAACCATCCGTCACTCTTCTAAATGCATATTTATTACCCCATTCACATATGTATGATATTCACATCACATCACATGGTTAGAAATCTTTGAAAAGATATTTTTAAAGATAAAATTGTAAATATGGAGTAAGACTGAATCTAGGACAACAGAGCAGCACTATGGTAAGGAATGTAGACAAAACATTTCAGGTGCTAAAGTAGAAGACCACTCAATCTATGAGGAATCACACTGAAGAAATGAAACTGTGGGCTGGAGAGACGGTTCAAAGCATAAAAGTGGTTGCTATTCAAAGAGAAGGGCATGAATGTGAATCCCAGAGCCTGTGTGTCAACAGGATGCAGTAGCGTGGATTCCTGTGTTCCCAACTCTTACAGGAGATAGAGAGCATAAAGGAGAGAATCCTGGGGAACTCACAAGCCAGCTAACACAGAAAACACGGCAGGAAAACGGTGGAGGGTCATGACTTAAACAAGGTGGAAAATGAGGAGCGACACAACGGCTATCCTCTGAAATGCTCTCGCTCTCACGCTTGTGCTTGCTCTAGTGCTCTCGCTCTTGCTTTCTCCCTCTGTGGCTCTCTCTGCTCCCCTCCCTTCTATCTCTTTTTCCAGCTCCCTCTTACACACACATTCACACTCATGAGTGTGCACAAACATCCTACACACGCAGCAGACACAACACTAAAAGATACATTTAAAAAATTTTAAAGGATACTTGTTTGACCATTATTGAAAAAAATATCTTAGTGTTGGTTATTTATTATATATTAACAGTACAACTTACAGGTTTCTTTACAGCATTTCCATGACCAGATTTGATGACATTTTGTTAGTCTTTAATGAGCCCTCTCCCCCTCCTCTTTTGCCCTAGTATTTCCTCTATGTGTCCTTCTCTCCCTTCTCTGGATTCCACAAGAGACACACAATTTTTTTTAGTCCGGATTATGTCATTTCCATTCACTTACTGAAAATACTGAAATTCAACTCTCATTTAAAGCTGACAGAGATATAGTTATATATATATATGTATATATATATTACAAGGTTCCTCACTTTTTCATCTATTAAAAAACATCCAGTCTGATTGTATAAGCTAGTTAGCTAGTTTTTGGAGACAGTGTCATAATAAACATGAGAATATAGGTTTCTCTGTAGTGTGTTGACTTTCATTATATTGGATGAATATCCAGAAATAATATGTCTGGATCCAATGGATGTTCTCTCATAAGATTTTGGAGGATCCTGCGAATTGACTTCTGAAGTAGCTATAATAATTTAATTTATATTCCAAGCAGCAGTGTATATGGGTTCCTGTTCCCTGCATCCTCATTGCTATCCCTTGCTCCCTGGATGACAGGTATTCTTAGTGAGGTAATGTCACTCTGCAAGTTTCAGTTTCAAGTTTTTCTTTTCAGGAACAAGGAGAAATTTTTAACAAAAACCTCAAGAAACAGAACAAAAGGCATGAGGAGGAAATCAGGAATATCAAGATGAAAAAGAACTCTGGTTGTTCTATGATGTGAAAGGCCTAAGCACACCAGCTGCCTCCCCTGCTGACTCCTTTCAGGGCAGCATCTGATATGGTTCAGACCATCTCACACTCAGAACTATATATAATACAAAATAATAAAGATGGCAAAGCCAAACAGCATATGGTCTTTGTACAACTGAGTATGATTATAAAGTGTCACTGTGTCATTTCCATAGATACATAGGAAGTGCTCTGTTGTTACAACAGTGAAAATATACATGCCATGTTTATTAATAGTATTAATTATCAATATAATGATGGAGATAATTTTCATAGAAATCTTTACTGTGGGTGGATATTCAGTTGTGTGGCAGAGACATACTTAAAATGTTCCCCACAGAGGTGTGTAAAGGAGAGAAGAGGAAAAGGGGAGGGGATAGGAGAACAGGAGGGATCAGGAGGACTGAGACAGGGGAGGAAGAGAGGAGGGTAAGAAAGGAGATGCCTTGATAGAGGGAGCCAGCATAGGTTTGGAGAGAGGTCTGGCACTGGAAAAAATGTTCAGGGATCCACAGGGGTGATGCCAACTAAGAATCTAGGCAGTAATAGAGAGGCTGCCTTTGATGCCCTTCCCCTATAATGAGTTTGATGACTACTTTGGTTGCCATTCCTAGAGCTTTCATCCAGTAGCTAATTGAAGTAGAGTCAGACACCCACAGATGAACACTGAGCCAAACTCCTATTTCTGGGACAGAATTCACAAAGGCCTTCTTGTTTTTGTGTGCCACCACACCTGGCCAACAAGCCTTTTTTCAGCTACTAAAAACCAAACACAAGCCAGGTGCAATGACCCACACCAATAGTCTTGTTACATCATGAGGCTGAGGCAGGGAAAACATGAGTCAAGGCCACCTTTGGTCACACATTCAGACCCAGAAAAAAAACCAAGAACTAGAAAGTGAAAAAGAAGAAAGTAAAGAGAGAGTAATAATATCACTATATCTGGCAAACATTTAGTGTTGAGTGTGCAGATGAGCATAGTAAAGGATTACATAAGGATTATTCATAGAAAGGATGAATGACTAACAGCCACATATGGCATATGATTTGTTCTCAAAAGTATGGTGTTGAGCCCTGGTCTGTGGTCCCATTATATTAGTCACCAGACCAGGATGACAGTCACCTTTGATGGTCAGAGCAGATTATAGATCCTGAACAGAAGCAAGAAGAAACCTGGACCCTGATATGTCCTGCTGTAACGTGAGCAATCCCAGAATCATGAGCTTGGAGTGGACTATCACATATATGGCAGCATCCATTATAACCTGAGTCTAAGTTTTAAAAAGTCTTTCTTATCATTAGCTAAAGCTACGCATCCTTATGTGCTATGTATCCCGGCCTTCTGGATAATATTTAATTGTATAGCCTTTGGATCCAGACTCAACAAAAGCTTAACAGTCACTGCCACTGAGTCCCCCCTCCCGGCAGAAGCCAATGCACCCCAGCTTCCTGGTCTTCTCCACCCATAGAACCAGTAAACCTGGGTCTGTTTCCATGCCTGTGTTCCAGTACCTGGGGACCACCACTGAGTCTCCCCTCAGATGGGAGCAAACACACCCCAGCTTCCTAGTCTTCTTATCCACCCACAGGTCCAGGTAAACTGGAGCCTGCTCTGGGCCGCATTCCTGTGCCTGGGAGGTGCCACTGCAGCTCCCACCCAAGCAGGAGCCAATGCAACCCAGAATCCTAGTTTCCTTCTCCTCCCACAAAACCAAGCCTAGGAGAAGCAAGAAGAGAACTACCTCCAATACCAAGTATTGGACTTGCTTGCACCCACAGAAAGTGAACCCTGGTCCCCTACCCACCAGGAGAGGAAAAGGAAATTTCTTCACCCACTGGGAGAAGGGATGAAAAGGAGACAATACAGAAACAAACTCAAAAACAGAAAAACAAATATGACACTGCCAGAATCTAGAGATTCTACACCAGCAAGACTCAAACATTCTGATGCAAATGAAGCAGAAGAGAATGACCTTAAAAACAACTTCATGAAAATTATAGAGGTCCTCAAAGGGGATATGGGAAAATCCCTTAAAGAAATAGAAGAAAAAACCAAAATTGCAAAAAAAATGGAAGAAACCAAACCAAAAAATGCAAGAAAGGGAGGAAAGACAAAGAAAAAATTGCAAAAAACAATTGAAACAGTGCAAGGGTAGAAAGCTGAAACAGAAACAATAAAAAACCATAGTCTGAAGGAATGCTGGAAATAGAAAAGCTGGGCAAATGGTCAGGTACTACAGATATAAGCATAACCAACAGGATGCAAGAGATGGAAGAGAGAATCTCAGGTATTGAAGATACACCATGAGGAATAGATTCATTGACCTAAGAAAATCTTAAGTCCAACATATCACTAACACAAAATATCCAGGAAATATGGGACAACATGAAAAGACCAAACCTAAGAATAATAAGTATAGAAGAAGGTAAAGAAAACCACCTCAAAGGGGCAGAAAACATTCCATAAATCACAGAAGAAAACTTTCCCAACATGCCAATGAAGGTGCAAGATTACATAACATCAAAGAGAGTGAACCACAAAAAATATCACCCCCCTGCCTGCCACATAATAATCAAGACCACAAAGATACAGAATAAAGAAATAATATTAAGAACATCTAGGAAAATATTCAAGTAACAAATAAAGGCAAACCTATCAGAATTACACCTGACTTCTCCATGGAATCTCTGAAAGCCAGAAGGTCCTGGATAGATTTTCTACCAACAGTAGGAGACCACAGATGCCAGCCTAGACTGCTATACCCAGCAAAGTTTTCAATCAATATAGATGGAGAAAACAAGATATTTCATAACAAAACCACATTAAAACAATGGGTATCCACTAATCCAACCCTACAGAAAGTTCTGTAAGGAAAACTCCAACCCAAGGAAGTTAACTACAACCAGAAAAACATAGGCAATAGATAATCCCACTTTACCAACAGCCGAGAGAAAAAAAGGGGTGGAAATCCACATAGAATTCCACCAACAACAACCATTTCAAAACAAACAATGCCCGTTAATATCTCTCAATATTAATGGTCTTAACTCACCCATATAAAGACACAGGCAAACAGAATTGATCCGAAGACAGAGTCCATCCTTCTGCTGCATACAAGAAACACACCTCATCCTCAAAGACAGACATTATCTCAGACTTATGGGTTGGGAAAAATTTTTCCAATCAAATGGACCCAAGAAACAAGCAGGGGTAGCAATTCTAATATCTACCAAGTAGTATTTTAAACTAAAATCAATCAAAAGTGTAGGAGGAAGTCTGTATGCCGCCATTAACCATGTGACTTACTAGAGGCACATACAGATGAGGTAATAAAAGGGCGGTTTACCACACCGCTAACCATACCCACTTTAGGCATGACTAAAGATGTATACGGCCGGACGTAAAGACGTATACGTACGTAGGCAGTGAACTACGTCACTAGCCAGGCCCACTTTTGGGCATGGCTAGGGGGCATTACAGGGGAAGGCATAAAAGACAGCACACAGGAAGTCTCGGTCTCTTTTCCCAGAGTTCGGCTTCCGGTTCGGCAGCGGAAAACTACTTGGCTCAACAGTGCTTTATTGACAAAGGACTTCCCCAACATCTCCTCTTTTCTGTTTAAACAAAAAGAAAGGTCTTAACTTTAACATAGTCAAATTGTATATAACAGAACAGTTATCAAATAAGAACATAGTTACAATATTTTAGCAAGATTTAAAGAAAATATCATCCATCTGATCCTTGTGAGTCCAAAGTCCTATATGTAGCTCATTACAGAAGAAATCAACCAAGATGAAGTCTCAGTTCTAAACACATATGCCCCAAATAAAAGGCATCCATATTCATGAAGGAAACATCACTAAAATTCAAATCACATATAAAACCTAACACACTTATAGTGGGAGACTTCAACATCCCACTTTCACCACTAGACAGGATTACCAGACAGAAACTTAACAAAAAACAAAGGAACTAATAGACGTTTTGACACAATTGGGTTTAACAGACTCTATAGAACATTACATACAAACACAAAATAATATACTTTCTTCTGACTACCACATGGAACCTTCTCAAAAATCGACCACATACTTGGCAACATATCCAACCCCAGAAGCTTCAAAAAAATTAGAATAACTCCATGAATCTTATCAGACCACCATGCACTAAAGTTAGAATTCAACAACAACACAAATTGCAGAACAAGCTCTTGGAAATTGAGTAATGTGCAATTACACCATTCCTGGGTCAAAGGAGAAATAAAAAAGAAATTAAAAGCTTCGTAGAATTCAATGAGAATGAAGACACAATATACCCAAACTTATGGGACACTTTGAAAATAGTGCTAAGAGGAAAGTTCACAGCACTAATTGCTCACATGAAGAAACTAGAGAATAGTCACACTAGAGAGTTAACAGCACAATTTAAATCTCTAACACAAAGAAGTAAGCTCGCACAGGAGGAGTAGATGCCAGGAAATAATCAAATTGATGGCTGAAATCAATACCACCATAGGAAGTACTAAATATAGATTGGGTGTCTGTATCACCTTCACAGAGACTGAGTGCTCAGTCAGTAAGAATTATTCATTAGTATTATAGGGACTTTAAAGTAGGCTCAAGAGAACCCAAATCCACGTTCTCAGCAAAAAGACTTATTTGCTCCAAAGAGACAGAGATCAGGGAATAAGAGACAAAAATGGGAGACAGAAGACCAGGGAGAAGGGGGAGAAAACATGGCAAGGGAAGAAAAGGGGCAACTAAGAGGGGGCAGGGGTATTGATTGAGGAAGAATAGTAATGAGAAAACACTGCCTCTGAATAAAGGGACAGATGTGGTCCATGGGCAAATGGAGCTTATAAGGTAAATGGGAAACTCTATGTTAAGGATAAGTGCTTAATGTTGAATGGGCATGTAAATTTGGTGATTGCTGTTTTTTGATTGCTGGAATTCAATATTTGATAGGTGGATTTGGTAGTCAGTCTCAGGAAGAGGAAATGGCCAATTAAGGAAATAGACCTTGGGGACTAGCTTTAGAGATTTTATCTTAATGTTTTTAGGTAAGCAAAGGGAATGGGGAGAAGGCAAGGCCTGCCAGTGCCAAGTGTGCAATGCTTGGG